GCAGCCATTGGAGTTTCATGTCTGGAGAATTCTGTTTAGTCCTGTGTCCCATTGGGTTATTTGTTTTCTTCGTGTCCATTTTTCTTTATTCTTAATATGTTTCAGGCATTAGTCCTCTGTCAAATGTAATTGATAAACGTCTTTCCCATTCTGTAACCTGCTGCTTTGTCCGACTAACAGTTGTTCTTTGCTTGGTACAGAAGCTTCTCACTTTCATGAGGTCCATTTATTAATTGTTGTTCTTCATGCCTAAGTCCTTTTTTGTGCCAGCAAGTTCAAGGATATCCTACTTTCTCATCTATCAGATTCTGTGCATCTGGCCTTATATTGAGGTCTTGAATCCATTTGAAGCTGAGTTTGTGCAGCATAATAAGTACAAATCTCGTATGTGCAGCCATCCAGTTTGACCAGCATCATTTGTTGAAGATACTATATTATTTTTTCCAGTGAATGTTTCTGGCTTCTTTCTCAAAAATCAGGTGTCCATAGATATGAAGTCATAAGTCTGGGTCTTTGGTTTGATTCTATTGATTGACGTATCTGTTGTTACGCCAATATCATACTGTTTTTACTAATACAGCACTTCAATACAATTTATGATTGAACTGTTGGTATAAATAACATTTATTTTATTATTCAAGATTGTTTTAGCTATCCTGTGTGTGTGTGTGTGTGTGTGTGTGTTTCCACATGAAGCTGAACATTGTTCTTTCAATTTATGTGTAGAATTGTCCTGGAATTTTGATAGGGATTGCACTGAATCTGTTGTTTGCTTTTAGTAATACGACAATCTAATTAACTGTATATAATTATGAATAATTACATAATTATTAATATAGCTATATTAAATATCCATTAAATATGTGTTTTATTAATTATATTAAATATACCTATATTAATCCTATCAATATGTGATCTTGGGAGATCTTTCCACCTTCTGATATCTTCAATTTCTTTCTTCAATGTCTTAAAGATCTTATCATACATTTTTTTTCTTCACTCACTCAACTAGTGTTACCCTAACATACTGTTTCTGAGGCTATTGTGAAATATATTTTTCCGTACGTTTCTTTCCCAGTTGTTTATTGTTATTTGTATATATGAAGGCTACTAAGTTTTCTGGTTAGTTTTCTATCCTGCTACCTGACTGAAACTGTTTATCAGCTGTAGAAGTTCCTTGGTAGATGTTTTAGGGTTATATATAAAGCAATATCATCTACAAAGCACAACACTCTGACTTCTCCCTTTCCCATTTGTATTCCCTTGGTCTACCTTGGTTGTCTTATTGCTCTAGCTAAGACTTGAACCAATAAATTGAATAGGTATGGAAAGAGTGAACATCCTTGCTTTGTTTCTGTTTTGGTGAAAACGCCTTGAGCTTCTCTCTGTTTACGCTGACGTTGGTTGTGGGCTTGCTGTAAATTGTCCTTGTTGTGCTGAGATTCGCCTCTTGTACTCCAGGTCTCTCCATAACTTTTACAATGAAGGGATGTTGATTTTTATCAATGATCTTTTCTTCAGCTGATAATCTTGTGGTTTCTGTCTTTGAGTCTGTTTATATGGTAGATTACATTTATGGACTTTTGTTTATTGAAATTTATTGAACCATCCCAGCATCTCTGGAATGAAGCCTACTTGATCATTCAGTTTGCAAGTATTTTGTTGAGAATTTTTGCATCTACGCTCATAAGAGAAACTGGTCTACAATTTTCGTTTTGTTGTTGTTGTTGTTGGGTTATTCTGTGCTTTAGGTATCAGGGTAATTGAAATTTCCTTCAAAAGTGGCAATGATCCTATTTTTTCTATTTTGCAGAATACTTTGAGGAACATTGGCACTAATTTTCTATGGATGTCTGGTAGAATTCTGCATTGACTCGGTCAGTCAGTCCTTGGCCTTTTTTTGGTTGGGAAACTTTTAATTACTACTTTTATTTAAGTAGGGGTTATATGTCTGTTCAAGTTGTTTACCTGATCTTGTTTTATTTGCCTTTTTACTTTCTAAAGATAGAGAGAAAAATGGTATGAGGTTAGACAGGTGGATATGTGAAAGGGATCTGGGAGGGGAGAAGGGAGGGGAGACCAAAATCACAATATATTGTCTGAAAACAATTTAATAAAAAAGAAGAAACAGTTGGAAATCTTTGGCTTCATAAGCTTACTTTTTGGGATAATATAGAAAATAAGAAAACCCATATACCACACAGAGAATGAAGAGAGGAGTTAGGACCTGAGTTGCAACTAAAGATTGAATGGCTCAAGAAAGATTCACCGAAAAGATGGTATCTGAAAAAGGGTGAAAGGAGAGAAGAAAGCAGGCATGTGGTCAACTGGGACATCTTACAAGATGATCACTGTCACTGACATTAAGGTATGGCTACTGGTAGTCCTGAGGGTATGAGTAGGGTGGACACAGAATCCAAGTTGTTAGGACAGAAGAGAGCCATCCATGAGTCTATTTAATAAGATAGCACATGTGACGTATTGAAAGGCGGGACCACTTGTACCATTTTTCTGCCCTCCCAATGTGAAGGAACACAAGGAATGTAGAACGCACCCTGCAAAGCAATTTCCACAAGCAGCAGCCACTTTGGTTTGGACACCTTGTAGAGTGTTCATAATTATCATCAATTATCATCAAATAGTAACCATGAACGTTTTAGACTTCCTAGAAAATGCCCATCACAAACAGATGGAAGGTACTGTCAGGGACCATAGAACTTAAAGCCGGATGGCTTCCTTGCTGGCTCTCTGCCTGGTTGTCTTCATCTCTAATACCTTGATGTACTTGTGTGTATTTTTGATTTTTTATTACTTTATCTTCCTGCGCTACTTAGTTCACAGCCTCCTCAAACTCAGTGTGAGACACGATATAAAGAACAGGAAAAGGGGCTGGTGAGATGGTTTCCGCTGTTAAGAGCACTCAGTGCTCTTCCAGAGGACCCAAGTTTGAGTCCCAGCACCAACATGACAGCCCCCAACTGTCTGTACCTCCTATCCCAGGGGATCTAATGTTGTCTTCTGGCTTTCTCAGGTACTAAGCACAAATATGGTGCACAAACATATGTGTGGTAAATCACTCATCCACACAAAATAAAATAACATAAATTTAAGGGGAAAAAAACATAGGAATCAAAACACAGGAGATAAAACTCTATGTTCCTGAATCACTTCACTATTTAATAGCCAAATTAGGGAAGACAGGTTTCCAATGAGGTGTGACTTATTTCAATCACTTGCAAGTTATCTCATTCTTTCTCTACAAAAATACAGCCATGGTCATAACAAAAGCCACATTCTGGTCTGCACAGAAGAGAATCATTAGATAAGAAACTAATGCTACATTTCCAAAATTAACATCCTGAAGAACATTGCTCATGAAATGAATTCAAAACCAACAATAATGTCAGGGTCATTGAGCAAAACAATATAACACTAATTTATTTCCTATGCAATTTTCAGAGACTACCTCAATGGCTTTATGACTCCTTACATGCTATATATGTATGTATACATATATAGAGATCATAGCTCATCCAGCATTTGTTTAACATGAAAGCTACTTTTTTTTTTCCCTAGAGATTCGCAATAGCATCTAGAAGTGGTGCTCCTCGAACTGTTTGGGAAACACTCTGGTAGTATACATATGGATGAGGATCTCAATAGTGAGCGCCTGCCCAAGCTGGCAGAACGGAGCCAGAAAATTCCCAGGCACCCATTTCTTGGCGTGGCGCACAAAGATTAGCAAGTCTGTATAACTTAGACCTCTGCAAAAATCTGTGTAACTACTCAGATTTGCAAATCTGTATAACTATCCATTTGGATTCAATAAATTTCACTTTTTTAAAAGAGCAAAACTGCTGAATTATCCAATATTCACAGTTATTAAATATTCACTTTGCAAATGAATTTCCTACCCCCACCTGTTCCCAAAACGTTATCACTGAATAACTGGAATTAATTATTATTGAGATGATGACAATGATGCCAAGAATGTATCCGAATTAAATGTTCCATCATGAAGAAAAGCCTGAAATTTTGATCAATACTGATTTAACTTTGTTCTTGAGTCCTTTCGGGACATTCAGTTCTATGCACAATAATTTGATGAACAGTTAAGTGAGTGATGTCTTTATCAATTTTCTTCTTTACATTTAACCTTAGTCCACACAATATAGGCTTGTGTACAAACCCTTACACGTGAATAAGTTTTAAAGCCATGTTTCCAATTCTTTGCCACACTGCCTGTGTATTTTTTTTTCTGAATTAAAACTGAAAGAGAATGCCTCTATTGCATTGAAAGGCAGCCCTTCCAAGAGAATCAGGGACTTTGCGAAAGAGCTGCCATCGTGGTCTGCCAGATGTTGACCTCACATTCGCACAGAGCAGAGTGATGTGTCGTTATATGAGATAAAAAAAAAGTACTGAGAAGGATATTGTCTTAGTGTTCCATTGATATGAAGAGACGCCACGACCAAGACAGCTCTCATAATAGAAAGTATTTAATTTGGGGCTGATGGTTCCAGGGGGTAGTAGAATACATGGCCATCACAGTGGGAAGTAGACAGGCGTGATGCTGAAGCAATAGCGGATAACTTGGCATCCTGACCTGCAGACAGCAGGCAGAAAGAGACAGACACTGGGCTTTTGGCACCTCAAAGCCCACCCCTAGTGACCCACTTCCTCCAACAAGGCCATACCTCTTAATTCTTTCAAACAGTTTCACTTCCTGTGACCAAGCATTCATTCATATGGGAGACATTCAAACCATCACTTAAATATTTATTAATTATAAATCTCATTCATAGCTTTGAGCGTTGCCATTATTAATTCCTTAAATGGCTTCAGTAATATCATTACCTTATTAAATGAAAAATGTTAGCTACAAACTTAATAAACATATCCTCAAAGACAAATATTTCAAAGGAGATGCTTTGATATCAGAGTAGTTTTTAAATGTTTCTGTGTTGCATTTATAATCATGAAAAAAAAACCAAAGTTTTTAAGAGCTGTGCTCAAGATTAATAGACTAAATCAAAAGTGCAGTGTCCAAAACCCGAATTTATGGTGACTTTCCATGAGTTTCTTCCGGGTACAGGAGGAAGCCACTAAAAATACTGTCATCCTCAGGGCCAACGTACAGCCCGTTCCAGTCCTTTGACACTTCCAGCCACACCTGATCTCCTGCACTCAGTTTCAAAATGAGCAGGAGGGAAGCCTGGTCTCCTTGCTGACCATAGAGCGTCTCTCTGGACTTGAACTGCTTCTTGTTGCGGGCCACGAGGCTGATTCGAGCAGGTCGGCCCCTGACCGTGACGTGGTAGGAGAAGACATAAGTCCCTGGAGTACTGCAGTTAAACTTCCCAGTGATGGGGCTGTAATCGCCCTGGTCATTGGAGAGAACCTTGTCGAATTTGATGGGAATGTTTGGGGCAGGAAAAGGCTTGGACAACAGGGCACTAAAAGCTGACTGTGGAACCTGAGAGGCCTCGCCCTTGGAACCCTTGACCCCCCGGGAGCCCTTCTTCCCAGTAGGCCCTCGAACTCCTTTGCTCCCCAGCTCGCCCTTTGGCCCGGCAGGTCCAGTTAAACCAGGAGGACCTGAATCTCCTTTTTCTCCCTTAGGGCCAGGATCACCTCTGGGTCCAGGTAGACCATCTGAGCCGCCTTTGCCTTCTGCCCCAGCTTCTCCCCTGCTTCCTTTTTCTCCCTTCACGCCTGCCTCACCCTTCTGCCCCTTCTCTCCCCTCTCCCCAGAATTTCCATGATAGCCTTTCTCCCCAGCATCCCCCTTCTCGCCCTTGGCCCCAGGCTCTCCAATGAAGCCATGGGCACCAGAGGCCCCAGGGTCCCCTTTCTCTCCTTTGGTACCATTCCCACACAGGTCACCCTTGGAGCCTTTTTGTCCTTTTATTCCTGCCGGACCATTGCTTCCTTTGTCTCCCTTGGGACCAAAACCACCTGAAATGAAAAAGTAAAATAATGCTTCAGAATCATATAAGCTACGACAGGATGTTATTACCTAAAATATTAAAATAATTCCCACCAATAGGACCTGTAAACCTGGTTCTTGCCTCGGTAATGTCTATTTCAAAGAGTCATTAAATGTAGTGAGCAATAATTACCGTGTTATGTTCTCAGAATAGCTAAGGCTTCCAAGAAAGAGTAATGTTTCGGGTTTTTTTTTCTTTTGCTTTGCTTTTAAAATAATACAGAGCTGTTTTATTCCAGTAGCTTTTGCACTTGACCCAACTTGTGTAACCGCCCCAACCTCTGTTTCACCCATCCACACCCAAAGTCTCACAGGCACAGAAGAGGAAAGGCAGATTCCGTTTCTGATAACAGCTCATGAAAGGGAGCAGAGCACAGACATATTTGCCCAATGTCTCAACTCCTGGATTCAACTCACGCAATGAGCACACCGAGTTATTAAAATAGTGAGAACTGGAGTATAAACCTTGCCAATTCGATATTTCCTAGCAGGAAGAGACAGGGCCATCCTGCACTCGGGTCCTCACGTGGTAGATCGATTGAACTTTACCTTGCTCTCCGGGCTTTCCTGGGTATCCTGGAATGCCACCTGCTCCTTGGTCTCCCCGTTCTCCCTTTAGTCCTAAAATAGTACAGGGATTAATTCCAGCGCAACTATGCCATTTGGGATAAATCTAGCCTGTGGTTCAGAGCTTCGCCACGTTCCAACATTTCTTAACAAAAGTTGTTTAAAGGTAAAGCAGTACGAGAAAAGAAAGTGTTGAAGGGCATCTGGGGTTGTGAGTTCTGGTTGATAGTAAGCCACTTAGAGGGGATTAACAGCTGATCCCTTGAGCAGAACTCCTTCTTGAAGCCTTCACATGATTCTTGAAATTCCTCATGAAATTTCAAACAACCGGCAAGTGGTTTGTACATGTGAGCTGGTGTTTTTCCTATTGTAAATTCTGAACGGTAGTCAAATCTCTTCTTTGCCACCCACCATAGATGTTTAGGCAGAGAGAGAGCAGCATATTCTTCCACCAGCTAAAACTACCAAAAACCGAACCCAGGAAAGAAAAACCACCCTTAGGAGACACTCAAAATGGGTCATTTTCATTACGTGGTAGAATAATTTCTGTACACTCTTATAGAGCTACAGGAGCCATTATGATAATAAAAGATTTAAACATTCAGATATCTGCCATAATACAACCCAGAGAAATCCAGTGTGGGTCACTCTTGTTTCCTAAGGAGTTGATTTCTCTATTTATTACTCTAGACAAAGTCAAATGTACAAATTTAACCTATGGGGTACCAGGAAAATATCCAAACGTATTCTGACAGGGTTCTGATGCTGAATGAAAGAGAAGGACCAAGCCTAGTCCCTCCTTGTCAGTAATGGAATGTTGGCCAGTTTCATTCAGCATTACTGGTATGAGATATATATATATATACATATATATATGTATATATATATATACAGATTCTCTGTGTGACCCTGGTGTTCTGTAATTCACTACCCAGTTCACTACCCAGGCTGGCCTTGAACTCAGAGAGATTGCCTGCCTCTGCTTCCCAAGTGCTAGGATTAAAGGTGTGTACTACCATACCCAGCATTAGTGGCATTTAAGTTTATTTAAGAGGATTAATGGCCTTAATTGAAAGTATTCAGTTAGACAATGATGGACTAGCATGCAGCCATTCAAGCAAGGTTTTGGAAACGTTGAAACTTTTATTCTTAACCAGGAGTCCACGCCAACTCTGGAAGTAAAAGAAAGTGGAGTTGCCACTTTATAAAGACTGGCTGAATGAAATTATACTTTGATCATTCATCAAAGCCTCGTCTTAAGAACCGTGTCTTACGGTACCGCCCCGGATTTTCTTCCACTTCCAGAAGTCTAGCTTCCAAAATGTACGAAGCGCCGAGGAGGTTCATCACTCACCCTTATTTCACAGGCTCCCTGCTAATATAATTCAGCCACAAAAGGATTAAATGTTTCCAAGAAGGAGAATCGCGTAACTGACAAGTGCGAAGTAGCACTCTCTCGCCTAAGCATATTTTTTGAGTAATTGCTTCACTGACTGTTCCAGCAAGAATGAGTTAGGCAGTTCCCGAGCCGTGCGGAGGGTGATGTATATGTGACATTAGGCCTTCTGACATCTGACAACACTGAACTTGATGGACAGACGGTATCTCTATAGGGTACCAGTATTCACTGGGGAATTTCTAACTATCCCAGGGAATCTGTAACTACCTTAGTACCAAAAGAACCAGTCATTTCTGGGACAGAAAGGCTTCTGTGCTAATGTTTTCAGAGTTATAGACTTCTTGGGCAGGGAAAGATCAATGGGAGTGTTCATAGCTACAAATCTTCTTTGAGAAACAGGTTGTAAGTCAATAAAAATCCACTTCTGCCAGGGTCCAGCCAGCAGGAAAATCATTGCTGTGTTTTAATTATTTCTTGATTTTTTGAGCTTATAATAGTTCATTTATTCTGTTGCCCCATCATTGATAACACCTCTGATTTCAGAGGGAGCCAAAAACAATATCAAATGCTCCTTAATGTCCATATTTCTACCAAAACTAAATATTCTACAGGATTACCTACTCTGGTACTATTTAATGTTAACTTAATTGCATTAAAGAAAAATATCCCCACTTAATTGGATGTGTATAGCTCAGTGGAGGAGCCTTAGCTAGCATGCATGGCCTCACTCCCCAGTACTAGAGCGAGGAAAAGAAAGAATAAAAGATCTCACACTAGAAGAAAAGACCCTTCCCTAGAGTCCAGACTTGGTAACTTCTAGTCTCTGGGTCACACCGGGAGTCAGTAAGTGGTGGGAAGGCTGTTTAAGAGTTTCTCTTGGCATTTTTTCTTATAATTTGGTTGTTTGTTTGTTTTGATTTCTGTTCTTTGTTTTGGTTTTTGTTTGGGGGAAGCATGGAGAGAGAGAGAGAGAGAGAACATGAAGTTGAATGGGTAAAGAGGTGGCAGAGATCTGGGAGGAGTTGGGAGAGGGAAAAACATAATTAAAACGTGTTGCCAAAAAAATGAAAACTAGTATAACTTAAGAAAATAGTCTCCCCTACTGGTGTGTGTGTATATGTCATTGTGTGTGCATGTGTGTGTGTGTGTGTATGTGTGTGTGCAACTGTGTGCATGTGAGAGAGAGAAGGAAAGGGGGGCGGGATGGTTTGCATATACCTGAAAGTTTTTCAAGTGTCAGGTAGAAAGTTAATATTTCATGCCAAATTAATATATGAGATGACTTATCAAATATTTGCACTTTTGAAAACCCTCTTTCAATAATCGAGTCTTTGTTTCAGAGTCTCCCTGAGTTTAATCCAAATAGGAAATGTACCCACCCTTCTCTCCTTTCTGGCCTTTGGGGCCTTGGAGTCCAGTGATTCCTGGGGGCCCTGGGCTGCCAACGTCACCAGTTTCCCCTTTAGGACCTAGGAAGGAAGTTTCAAAATCATCACATTAGAAAAATCATATTTTGAAATTCATTAGTTCAGGGGAAAAGGTCGTAATTTTATTGAGACCAAAAACTGTCAGTGTCCTAATGATAAAATCTGGCAAGAATAAGCCACTACAGAGTTCTGAGAGCAGTGTTTTTGTCTGATTTGCCATTTTGTACTACCTGAATAGATACATTGAGCCCATTAGTACCTGTCACTAAATTCATGGCAGTGATCAAATGATTCAGGGAAGCGGCACTGTATCAAATGACAAAAACAAAGTCATTATCTGATGCTTCACCTCATAGGACCACACTTTTAAATTGAAAATTAAAAAAAAAAATACCAAACACTTTGAGATTCCCATTCATCCACTTACTCATTGATTAGGAACGATTTGTGATGTTTTCTGTACACTGAATCCTCTTGCTAGATTCTAGAAATTCAACAATCTCCCCCCACCCAGGGATGAGAATCTGTGCAAGATGAACATTAAAGATATAACATAAGGGGAAATGGGAATTGTCTCACTCTAGTTGATACAAAGTAAATAGGAAGGTCCCATTGTAAGTTACACTTAGAAATAAAATGAGCTACATTTATGGGGTCAGAAGACCGTTCCCTGAGAAAACAGTATTAAGCAAAGACGCAACAAAGGAATTAGAATTTTCTGAAGTGTCAAAAAAAAAAAACCAGTGTCTTTAAGCAACTGAAAAAAATAGCATTGTGCATGGAAGTCATGACCAAAAAAGGGGGTGGGGGTTGAGAGGCAGGCACGGTAGAGATCATGCAAGTCTCTGACCTCACTAGACACTGTCTCAGTTACTATTCTACTGCTGTGAAGAAATGCCTTCACCAAGACCACCCACAGTAAAGAAATCATTTAATCTGAGGATCACACTCCCAGAGGGCACCACTATCATGGTGGGAAGCAGACAGGCATGGCATTGGAGCAGTAGCGGAGAGCCCTGCCTCCTCATCCACAGGCAGCAGGGAGAGAGAGACAGGCTGGCCGGACCTAGGCTTTTTAACCCTCCAAGCCCACCCCCAGTGACAGTCCTCCTACAACACGACCACACCTCCTAATCCTTCCTATACAGTTATCAAACTTGGAATTAAGCTGTTGTAGACTGTTACTGTAAATAGGTAAAGATGTGTTACGTTTGTTTATGCTGTTTGTTTAACTATGTAAAGATGTGTTACAGTTGTTTATACTGCATTTGTTTAAAGATGAAAAGATGTGCTGCTGCTTCACCTTGCCTGAGAAAGGCATCTGATTGGTGTACTAAAAAGCTGAACGGCCAATGGCTGAGCAGTAGAGGGACAGGTGAGGCTGGCAGGCACAGAGGTTAACTGGGAGGAGGAGAGAACAGGGAGAAAGAGAAGGAGATGCCCAGGACCAGTCAGCCAGGTAGACTTGGACCAGACATACAGAATGAAAGAAACGTAAAAGGTTCCAAAGCAAAATGCAGATGAAGAGAAATAAGTGACACTAAGTTATAAGAGCTAATGAGACAAGCATTCATAACTAATAATAAGTCTCCATGTCATGATTTGCGAGCTGGTTGGTGGCCAAAAAGAAAGCCTGCTACACTAAGCATACAAATATAAACTTTTGGGGGCCTTCCTCATTCAAATCACTACAGATACACTTACTCATCCAGGCAGTCATTTACCTAGAACACACCTAACTCAATTCATTAATTTTTTTTTTTTTGGTTTTTTTCAAGATGGTTTCTCTGTAGCTTTGGAACCTGTCCTATAACTAGCTCTTGTAGACCAGGCTGACCTCGAACTCACAGAGATCCACCTGCCTCTGCCTCCCAAGTGCTGGGATTAAAGGCGTGCGCCACCACCGCCCGGCCAATTCATTATTCTTTCTGCAAGTTCAATCCTATTTGCAGAGTAAAAATTGTTTCTTACTTAAAATAATTCAAGGCTAATTTCTCCAAAAGTTTACCATATAGATAATCTTACCTAATGAAGTTACAAAATGGCGTTTTAATTATAATTAAGGATAATGGGATAGAATGAAATAGAAATTAAAAAATGTTTTTAAATTCAATGAAATGAAAAATCATATTCAGTAGAATTCATCTTTGGAAGAAACTACAAATTTGTAAAAGGAAACCACTGATAAATTGCTTGCGGTAGAGGTTAGGGCTGAAGGCAGTCCCTGCCATTTGAAGGAGAATTGCATGGAGAAGAGGAATAGAGACAGACTAAGCAGAGGAGGTGAGAGTAAACAAGAAAGCCACTGTCTTTTTTCCCTGTGCATTGTCCCCCAAGGATTGGTGGGGCTCTGCTGTTGAAGGAAACAACAAACCACACTCCTGAGTTGGCACAGGAGCATCATGTGACTGCACACATGTAACTGCACATCATGTAACTCTATCACATCTACAGGAGATGGACACCTAGGGAGTATTCTCATAAACACCGTAAGATTGAACTCAAGGTGAACCAATTGATTTTGCCTCCTGTCTCTGTGCAGGCAGGTGCTGCAACCTCTAAGTTGACCAAATGCTCACTGAACTGGAACACATCACCAGGTGCAATGTAAAAATATCTTTATAAAGTTTTAGAAATGATGTAAAATTCCCCAGTTTTCTTAACGTAAGAAGCCCACAAGCAACTGAACCAAAAACAGAAGCAAGAGACGGAGAGCTGCCTTCTGGCCATTAAATATATCTGCGTATTTTCATGATGTTTTTCATCCATAAATAGGATCTAAGTGGACTTTTAAAAGTAGATAATGCACCGTGTGATGCCTGCAATATGTGTGTTCACGTGACCAAAGACAGAGAGTTGAGGAAAAAAAGTTGAGATGCTTGGATTTGTGTAGGTTTTTTCTTTTTCTCTGAATTTGTTCAATGCTGTTCTTATATTGATTTCTAATGAAAGGAACACAGAAAGAAAAGGAAAAGTCGCTGAGCAGATCTATGTATATACTCAGAAATATGTGTGTGTGTATATATACACACATATGTAAACACATAGAAGTATGTAACAGCAATTAAAGGGGGGAAAAAGGCCATGAATTTGAAAGACAGCAAAGCAGGGTGCTTGGGAGGGTTTGGAGAAAGACTGAGAACTGGGAAATGATTTATATTATAATCTCAAAAAAAATAAATTTCGAGATTCTAAAGCTAGAATAACTGAATCTCAAAAAAAGAGGATGCTGTTCTATCAGACCCAGAGAATGTCACAAGCTAGAACCACACTCCATGTTAACTGAGTGATAAAAGCAATTTGTAGACTATTTATTCTATTTCGGGCATCACATATTCATACTGATCATGGTTTCATTTAACCCTGTTTCCCATTGTTGAAACTGAGTCCTCAGGAAGTAACGAAGTCTTCTTAGAAAGGGCTGTGATAGAGTCCTCCTTCTGAGCCGGGTCTGTAACTGCAACTACTTGGAAGGCTGAGGCAGGAGATAGGCAAGTTCCTGATTTGCCTGGCCTTCAGAGTGATTAAAGACCACCATGGGCCACTTTGTGAGATGGTCTCAAAATAAAAAGTGGACGAGCAATAGCCTAGCATGTACAAAGCCCCGTGTTAATCCACAGCAGAAATAAATACAGAACATTCTAAGTCAGATGACACAGGCAGCTAGTTTATGACATGTGAGTTACACAGACAGGCTAGAAACTGGGCACACCTCCAAAATATATGTCACAAAGATTAGAAAAAAAAGCTGAAGGCCAAGGACAATCTAATCTCATCTGTCATCAGGTGAGACAACAGCCCTGGTGCTATGGAACTCACTGTCTCCTTAGGAGGCGGTGTTGCCAGTCAAGTAAGATATGAAGAGTTCTGATAAATATGATTTTCCTCAGCCTCGTTGCATTTCCAATATTGCGTCGTCGGCCGGAGAATCGGGTCCTAATCTCACTCTCTTTACCCCTTAATCCAGCTCAGTATAAAGAGTACATCTCTCTAAAACCCACTACCATGAGATGAAATTAATTAAAACCTCAGTGGTGATGCATAACAACTGATTTTACAGCTTTCTCTTCCTCAGGTTAGATGACACAAACACTATATGAATTCGTTTTCAGGGAATAGTGACTTTAAAATTGGCATTCTGATCTTTAATTTTATCTCAAGTTGTCTATACTACCTAGCACCTAAAAGCCAGAATGCATTACGGTAAAACTGAGAGCATATTCATTACGTATATATTGGAGACATCTGAGATTTCAAAATAGTAACCAGTGTTCGACACAGAAAATTGCTGGGCAATGGCAGCGTTGCTTCCGCATCTCAATGAGGACCACGCTGAATTTTACATTTCATTTTCCACTCAAAGCCCTTCCACTTCTAATCCTAACTACAAATAGCATTCACAAAGTCCAACAGTTGCCGCACTTTCTCGCCAGGCAATAGAATTTTCATTTACCATTTTTCAAGCCGACAAAAAAAGAAAAAAAAAATACCTCCGCTGCTCATACCCTGAACCTCCCAGAAAAACCTCGGCTCCAAGGCTGAAGCTGGGAGTCCTTGACTCAGTTGGAACCAGCGCTGTTAATACAGCAGGCATTACCCGATAGAGTAGGCATAGGCCATGTGTGGTTAATAAGGAAAGATCTTGAAATAAATACGCCTGTGATTGAGGCGGAAAAGTGTGCTCAGTGGTTAAGAGCACTAGCGGCTCTTCTACAGCACCTGGGTTCAATTCCTAACATCCACATGGTGACTCACAGTCCTCAATAACCCCAGTGGCAGAGGACCTGACACCTTCTTCTGACTTCTATGGGCACTGGGCACACGCATGGCCCACAGACATCCATGTAGGCAAAATACCCATAATCATACAATAAGGATAAATCTCTTTTTTTAAAATAAATATAGCTGTGGTTACTGAGCTGCATTTTTATCCCAATTTGAATTATGTATCAATAACCCTGCTTCCACTTGGATTCGTCACGTTTCCACGGGCAAGTAGCGCAGAAACCCTCAGATCAATTCTTCACCCTAAGCCCTCCGCTCTGGGGACATTCGGTTGGGCACTTGCGAGTACCTTGCTTTCCCATCTTTCCAGGTTCTCCTTTCTCCCCGGTGACAGGTGAACAGCAATGGCAGCAATTCAAAAAGAAACGAGTCGCGTCCAGAGAGAAGCTTTCAAAAGGGAACAGACCGGCGGTGGCGGAAGTAGAGGGGTCCGTGGTGGGCTCGGCCGTGGCTGATAGAGATGGGCTAGTGGTGGGCTCTGCCACGGCAGCCATTTCTGGAAGGAGAGTTTCTTCTTCATCCAGAGGAAAGCCACTGGATGGCTTTTGGCCCTTGAGCATCTCCTTCCCGTCAGATTTCTTTGTAAATTTGGGGTACGGTGTGGTCTTCCCTACTGTGTCCACATCAGCCACAGCCAAAATAATTAAGAAAACACAAAGCCAAGAAAATATCCACATGTTTGAGGCTGGAAGAAAGACATAAAAAACACACATAAATTATAAATGGTCCAAATAAAAGCACTGGTACCATCTGTCCTTATATGAGAAAAATAAAATATATCTCTGAGACATAAGGAGAATAGCATATGTGACTTAGAATGATGTACAGCTGGTATATTCTATATGTAAGTGTGTAGAGCCGCCACGGAGCATTTTATTTAATTTATTATGAGGAGTACTTTGCGTTCAGTTTTCTCTCCTGGTTGTTCCTTGGTGTTACGTGTTCTCAAACGGTGTTCTCCATCATTCAAATTATCTTGGCGAATAGCAAATATGATCTATAATAAGTGTAGCATGCCTTAATAGCTCCTGTACCCTGTGGAAAACAAATATGTGTGATTTCCTCTCTGACCTCACTCAGATTTATAGGAATCAAATACATTTGTATTAGAGGGAGATGAAAAATATTGAGCTGAATAGTTTATTCCCGCAAACTCAATTATTTCAGGGGAAAAAAGTACTGGTAAAATAGTCTTTAAATCTACTAGGGATAATGGTGCTGTTGTGAGAGCACTCTGAGGGAACCTATTATAATAAATGGAGGAGACAATTTGAAAAATCATAACTTTGAAAATATGCTATGTCCTTATCTTTTCACATGCCACTTGGCTGGCAGAATCTTTGTGGTCGACTTTGGGGAGTTTTTCTAAAAACTCACATTTATCTTTGGGTAACTTTAGTTAGGCAAATGTGATTATTCTTATTAAGCTTTTTTTTAACCATATCCAAAGAAACATGGTATAATGTTCCCAGTGAAGCAAAATTGTGATAGCTCACCATTCCATTCCCCATTGACTCCAAACAGGTTGCTAACAGACAGCCCAGGGTACACATGCATTTTCTCTGATATGAGACAGAAAAAAAAGCAGTAGAGACAAATAGTAAGAGAATTTAAATTAAGAGGGAGAAAGGCACCTACTATGTAGAGAGTCCCTATACCTAGCTCCATACCACCAATCCAACCAGCTCTCCAAACACGTCTGTAAGGCAGGTGTCATGTGATTATTCTCCATCACAAACGAGGAAGCCAGCACCAAGTAGTTGCATACCTTGTCCAAGGTCATAAAACCAGTAAATCTTGGATTTAAGATACAATGCAGTTTGGTTTAATTTCAAAACCTAAACTCATTTCCACAAATCATGTGGACTTTATAAGGATGGGATTAAAGAACAATAAATCCAAGGTCAGCCCAATTGAGTGGAGCTATAGAGACAGACATAAATCAAAGCAGATGAAGAGATAATGATGGGACGCTCCATTTTCAAAACTGGGTAAAAGTCCAAAAAGTTCTAACTTTCCATCTGGTTGTCTTTGCTGCTGTGTCCATTGACCTGACTACTTTGTAGCCCACGTAGGGCGCCATTCTGTATCATAAGGGGGGCCGGCTTGTTGGGGATTTTGTCCTGCCCAGTTCCCCCAGCTGTTTAGTCCCAGAGAAAAATCACACAAGAGATCTCTATAAGTTAAAATGCTGATTGGCCCATTAGGTCAGGCTTCTTACTGGCTAACTCTCTTATCTTGATTAACCCATTTTTCTGATCTATTTTAGTCATGTGGCGCAGTACCTTTTCAGTGGGGCAGCTCACATCCTACTGCTTCAGTGATCTGGACAGGAGTGCGAGGAATCAGCTTCCTCCTTCCCAGAATTCTCCTGCTCTCTTTGCATCATTTCCACTTCCTGTCTGGCTTTCCGGCCTACACCTCCTGCCTGGCCAATCAGCGTTTTATTTAAAACATGATTAACAGAATACAGACAATTCTCCCGCACCTTGTTGACCTTGGTAATGTCACAAGGAACAAGGAATTAGTTTTAATGACACCAGACATAAGTTAAGTCATGATCCCATCCTCTAGGAGTTACGGTTTAGTAAGGAGAGATGGGAGACAAGGAAAGTAAAAACGTGGACAGCATTTAGGTCGTCATGCATGTGATTGCAGATGCATGCACGCACCACACACATCCCACCCACAAGACAAACATACACACATGACTGGCATGCATCAGCCGTTTACACGCATCCCCCTCAAATGCCACAGTCAAGCTTCCTAAACTGTGGCTCAGAGGACCCCTGACGACGTCACAGGTGGTGGACATCATAAAAATTTGGTAACAGTAATAAGTTTTGAAACACACGGGAACCAAAATTTAACTCAAACTCAGGCTTCCAGTGAATCTGAAGAGCATCAAGCCATGCTCACCTGTGCTGTGTCACGTGACTTCATTCAAGCCTTGTCTCTAAGCACACAATGTGTAAACTGCGCACTGCGTGTACCACCAAGCCACCCAGGGCCCTATGAAAACGGCCTGCAACAAGTCAACTCAGGTTCCGGATGAGTGTGTGTTAGGAACTGCAGCGTTTTTTACTATGCACACTGCACTTACAGGAGCATAATTGCTTAATTATGGAAAACGAAGACAATTGCCTCCTGCTGTCACGTTAATCATCAGATTAGTGTGTCTTTGAATCAGATTGTGCTAGAATGTTTGATTTTTTTTAATGCTATTTGATTTGCTGTCTTAAGTTTCGTTTAAAGAAAAACATTCAATACATTTTGGCTTGGTGGTAAGACAGAATTTCCACCCATTTCTAAACTAAACATACTTCTTCCATTTTGTCCTTTGTATTTAACTAAAGCAGCACTCTTAGTGTTAACAATTAGGATATTGGAATGCCACTCAACTCTGAAAAATGTTCAAGATCCTCTATGTCCAGCCATATCAGACATTCAGCCAAGACTTAACTCTCAATATTATTGATGTAAAAAAATAGATAGACCCTGCTCATTAACACACTCATTTGTTTCCGTTTCTGGTAAATGGTAAAAATCACGTGTGAAGCAAAAAATTACTTTAAAATTAATTTTGTTGTGATTTATTACCAGTGAATATTTGATCTGTATACCTGCTATATATACCTATATGTTAAGTGTGCAGCAAAAGTTTCTCAGGTAAAAAGAGGTCAAAGGTGAAAGAGGTCTCCACATTTAACAACAAGATTTTTCTTTTTAAGGCGGGATTTCTTTGTGTAACATCTCCAGCTTGTCCTGGAACCTGCTGTATAGACCAGGTTGTCCTCAAACTCACAGAGATCCACCTGCTTCTGCCTCCCAAGTTCTGGGATTAAAGGCATGTGCCAACACACCAGTTTAACAACAAGATATTATTGACTATAAAGCAATTAAACTTCCTTTTTCCTTACTGGGACACATCTGCTACTCCTCCTTATGTACATGGTAATTTTTTTATCCTGTAAGAATTTTGCAAAAGGATCTTAGGAAACTAGTCATGGGGGGGGGGTGAACAAGGAAGAGAAAGCTGAGGGGTCCTGTGCAGGAGAAGGGGTCAAGCATCTATCTGGCAATCTGTCTGACACTGTTTTAAGCACTTTTTAACTATTATGTTGACTATACCACAAAAGAACCACACAGGTAAGACCCACTGTGCTCATTTAACAGGTTATAAAATGGAGGCACACGAAGACTAGTGTAAAGGGAGGGGGAAGTGATGTAACTTTATTTCACCCAAAAACAAAACCCTCCAAAAAAATAAATTCATAAAAACATAGCCCCCAAACAAAACCCGCCACAAGTGAGGACTTTAGATAAAATTTCAAGTCACCAAAGACAATAAAAAAAAAAGAAGTCTTAGGTCTGAAGTTTAATGAAGATTAAATCCTAACAAGGATTTAAAATAAAGATTGGAGGAAGAGGATGAGGTCCTGCGGAGACGGCTCAATCAGTAAAATACTTGCCCCGCAAGCTTGAAGCCTGGAGCTTCAGTATCCAGCTTGAGATACTTGGATACCCAAGGCAGCAGCATACCCTTGTCAGTCCAGTCCTGGAGAGGGGAAGACACACGGGTCCCTGGAACTCAGTGGCCAAGAGCCAAGAGCCAAGGCTTGTGGGAGACACCATCGTCAAAATAACCTGGAAAGTGACTGAGGTTGGTATCTGACATTGAGCTCTGGCTGACACATGCATGTATGTCCATTCTCATGCACATACAACAGAGACAGAGAGATACAGAGACAGAGAGAGAGAGGCAGAGAGACAGAGAGAGGGGATGAGATTTCCAAACAGAAATTTAAATACCCTGAGGCTTTTACTTCTCCTGAATATTGTCTATCCCATAAAAACTTTTTTAGAGAGAGTGTAAAATTAGATCTCCTCTATTTCTGTATTCCCAGGGCCAAGCTCAAGGACTGACAGATGATAACTGTTGTATAAATGTTTTCTGGACTGCAAGAAAAACAAGAACGAGCAAGGGGTAAATATGATAAAGTACAGTCCTATACACATTTGAAAATACCATAATGAAACTCATCATTTTCTATGCTAACTTAACAAATGTTTGCAGATGAAGTAAATATCACATTAAATATAGATATTGCGTTGATGCCCTCGGCATTCTCCCCTCCTGGACTCACACCCTTTGCAGTGTGAGTTTGCACTTAAAAAGAAGAAGCCCCTCTCTCCTGACCCCGGTGTGACTCCTGGAGTCATGTGACTCCAGCCAGTGATATGAAGGAGGAGTGAAAGGGACCCAGCCTCAAGCCAACTATCGAGGACACACATGTGTCTCCATATTTCCTATTTTGTTTTTGTTTTGTTTTGTTTCGTTTGCCCTCTTGTCGGAATGTGAACAGCCTAGCTTAATGGTCACAGGGGGAAGAGGAGGGACGTCCAGAGTCGCACTCTCCCAGCCACACACGACCTGGACTGGAGTCCCCAGCTAATCTGAGTACATATGGATGATCCCAGTTAACAGCAGCTGGAGCCAACTGAGATCATATGACTACCTCCCGCCCTACACACATGCCCCTGCTAGCTACTGCTGTGGAACAAAGTACTCCCACCTCCGCAGCTTAAAACAGCAGCTGTCTCATCAGCAAAAGACCTTTTAGCAAGATTCTAAACCTTCAGATAAGTCATCTACACCAACATTATTTTCCAGCTG